CATCAAACCCTCGCTTATGAATAATAATAAACCCGGTACCACTAATCACATGGGTCAGCTTCGTCTGCATGAAACATTACGTGCCACACTCATTGTACTCTTAAAACAGACCGAGCTTGGTCCGAAACGACAGATAGCCTTAATTTATATTTCGTATGTTCTCTTCCCTTTGTGAAATGCCAAAGCATCATTTCATTTTCCCCATAAAGAAATCGTTTCATATTTATGATATAATTATATAAGGATGTTATCATTATACAGGCGCAGTTTAAAAGATGAATCATGTTCGTTCTTGTTTAAGCAAGTCGTCCAAAACACGAGATGCCGTGGATCTAAATATGGTGTGTCGTCTCGATGTTTTAGACGGATTGAAGGCCAAGCGGTATGTATGTTGATCTTGCCTGTGAAAATTTGCGTGCGGGCGATATTATTCTCACCAAAATTAGTATAAATGAACCTTTGCGTTAACACCGACTTCTGTTTTTAAACTACTTTTAAACTAGTCACGGCGTTGGCACAGTTGTCAGAGGTCTGTTTCTCAGACTGGAGGTGCAAGATTCTATTCAGCTTTATTCGGCAATTGTCTTATTCATGAATTCCCTTGAGCAAAAAATATTCTACACGTTCCTTCACACCGGGTTTGCTCAATCGACTGTGTCAAACTCGTATCCGATACGTCCTGAGTTTAAGCTCAGGTCTGGGTTACTCGCTCTTCTTTCATCAGAGGTTGATTAATGAATGCCACTCTGTCGAAAGGAAACAAGATACCACATGCTACTCTTACCACATTGTTGTAGCCTGCCTTAAAAATGGCAACCCTGGCTGATTGTTTAAAAACAGACATCAGCACCGCCGTCATCCTCATGAAATGAAGGGCGACAAAATCCCCTATCATAAAAGTGAAGAAACTACAATGTTGAGACGTTGACTTTCTTTCTTTTATTGTAATCAAGTCTGCCGAAACCTGGTCTATTCAACAGAGAGCGGGACTACCTCCTTTTGAATAATTGTTGTTACTTAACTGTTGACTTGACAATTATAATCATAACGAGGTTCGTATTTGTTTCGCATTTTTGTTCATTTTCTTGTCTGTCAAGTTTCCATTCTAATGCTTGATTTTTTTTATGAAATAACCCATTCGTTATTTTCTTGGCTGTTTCCCTTATACTCATCGTTGCTTCGTTTCTCTGCTGTCCCTTCATAGTAGTTTTCGCAGTCGTCACGTATTGCGGTAATTCTCGTTTTTTCTCTTGTCGTGATGACCATACAGTGAACCGCAAATTTTAATTCGCACGCCGTGCAACTATTCAGCATTAAGTAAATTCTGCTGCTGTACAACATTTGACACTGTCCAGTAGGTCAGTTGTGATAGCAGGTTCGTAGTTATTTATTTGTGATATTTTTTTCCATATTTATCATGTATCTTACCAATGTTTAAAGGCAGAATGGTAGATGAGTTTGGCGACATAATTCAAGCAGTAAAGTGATTTCCACTTAAAATCTGCTCGTCATAATAACCTATTATCGACGGATATTTAAAGGTTAGTCATACTACTGCATGACCTGTTACAATATCACTTGCATTATCTTTCTGGCTGATGCTGTGAAGTCTATGCAGCGTTTTAATGACTAAAAAATATAACCGATAAAACGGCACAGTCACGCGGTTCAGATTGGAGACAAAGGTTCAGCTTTGATATTGACTAAGTCGAGTCTGTTGTCAATGTCCTCGTCAATTTCACTAATTACCGCTCTAAAACAAAATCGCAGTTTAGAAGAAAACGCATTAGAAAACTAAAGAGCACTAATAGCAGTTACTTTTGACGGGAAGCAGAAAGAAGGGCAGGATATCTTACACACCTTCTTACAGAGCTTACAAAACATCCACAATTGAAAATACTTCGACTCTTGTAATAATAGTGTCAATGT